GACCCTCCTTACTTAAGCCTCCGAGAAACCCTAAACCCCTAAACCCTCCGAGGCAGACCTCTGGTCCATGGCTGTCCTGGCTTCCGATGATCTGGCGATGCGGCAAAGCGTTCAGGAGGAGACACTGCAAAGGGCGGGGGAGGGGGGGAGATTTGGCCAATGCTGTTTGGATTACGGGTGATGTGTGGTTTGCCGTTGTTGGGGGCATGTTTTGTTTGCTTGTGATTCGAGGAAGTTTAAAATAATTACAAGGCTCATGGCATTTTCGTAAGGGGGTCTGCTTTTTTTCCCGGTGGGTTTGGGAAAAAGGTTTCGGGGCTTTTGCAAGCGGGGGGGGGGGAGAGGTTCAGTGTGTAAGGAAATGAGGGCATGTGCACTGCAGCCTCTCCTCAAAAAAAGTGTGTAAGGATTCACGGCGTTTGGGTCTTTAGGGAATAGGGGGCTATGCTTTCTCTTCAGGGTTCGGGGTCTTAGTGATCAGGGTTTGGGATTGTGGGGTTTAGGTTCCCCGCCCCAATCTAAAGTGCGACCCCAACCCGAAGCTGCTATCGCAACCCCTGTTTTGAGTAGTAACCTTGCTGTGACCCTTTTGGGCCAAGCCGAAGAATCACCCAGTTATGCGAATAGTTTCTCTCATAAAGGAGTGTAGGCTCTAGGGCGTTTCGGGCATCGGGGGTTTGTCGTGGTTTCACTCTGTGAAAGCCCTTTTCTACACAACCCTAGCCCTAAACCTGAAGAATTGGCCACCTTGGACAGACTCCCAAGTTCCAAGTTGACCCTTTGTTGAGGAAATACTGGTTTTAGCCTTTAGCCGACTTCATAGATCTCAAGATGGTGCTAGAACCCCTGATCCCAGAACCCTTGGAGGTGTGGGTTTTCGTGGCTTTAGGTGGTACTGCAGCCAAAGAACCTAAACCCTAAACCCCTAGTGTAGTATAGTATAGTATAGTATAGTATAGTAACAAAAAAAACCTTAAACCCTAAAGCCAAGAAGCTCCCAGGAGGTCCAGAGAAGGATCCTGCAAGGCCACGTGGGAGTCTTGGCGGCTCGGCACCCATCGAGACTCAGGGCCTGGCGTTT